TGTCCATAATCTTACCTTTCAGCACTGCACTGGTCATTATATCACCACGGAGAGTCTGAAACCCCTGACTGCTGCAGAGCTTGGCCTTTATCTCAATCTCCCCAATTTATTTTTTTAATTTGTAGCACCGAGCTTGATCTGGGTTGGGTCCCAGCATGACCAGCATCAGCTCTGCTCCCACTCTTCACAGCAGGGCCTGCTTCCTGGAGGTTAAGATAGTAGGGTGGCCGTGGTGGAGTGAGGGGCCTGTTCCAGCAGCCCATGACCGCACAGCATGAGCACAGGACTTGTCCTAGGAACCAGGCCCCCGGCTGGAGTGTCAGTCTCTTTGCCAATAGAAGTCAGCCACAAGGAATGCTGCTGAGAGACGGAGTACTCTCTTTCCCAACTCCTTCTAGTTAAAGAGAAGCTAGTCTCCACCATTTGTTTGCTTCCACTGGGGTCTCTGTGGCTCTAGACCCCTCCTTTCAACCCTTTTAGTCCCTCTTCAGAGATCAAGGATCAACTGATCCTAATCTTACCCCTCTTCACTATGGAAGACTTATACCAGTGTAGAGAACCTGGAGTCCTCTAGCCTGACTGCGGTAGAGCTGAGCCCTTGTCTCAGTCTTCCCAGTGAAAAGAGCCAGGTCTCAAGTTAAGATGAGTAATTCCCTAGGCTGTCTGTCTGCACCCCGGAGCCAAGTCAGTGGGCATAGAAAGTGATGAGTCTTGTCTCACACACACAAGGTCACCTTTTATCAAGACCGCAGGCACAGAGCCCCAATTGAGGCAAATGTGTATGAATTAAGCTGGCCCTGAACCTACAGAATAGTCATCTGGATGTCACTGTGATCCCACAGAGTGGCCAGGACACTAAGAAAAATAAATGGTAACTTAAAAAACACAAATAATTAACTATTTCAAACATCTCTGTAGTCAATGAATTTATAAAATGCTGTTAGGATTGGCAGTCGTGCCTCTAGTGCAGATACTTGGAGGCTAGCCTAGGCAAAGGATCCCCACCCTGTCCAGGCTTCTCTCTCCCTCCCTCCCTCCCTCCCTCCCTCCCTCCCTCGCTCCCTCCTTCCCTCTCTCTCTCTGACCTCAGAGTCATGGCCAATCCTTTCTTCAGCCTCTGAAGAACTGAGTGTACATACAGCCTACTCTATTCTTGAACTAAATATGTAACTGAGGATGGCCTTGAACTCTACATTTCTGCTTCTGCCTCCTAAGTGAGTGCTGGGACTAATTTGCCACCACACCTGAATTTTTTTAAAGACAGAGTCTTTCTATATAGCCTAGATGATGATACAGAGGCAGAGAGCCAGAGGGAGAAACCAGAGCCCATGTAGTCCAGGACATGACTTCCTGTCCCAGGCACCTAACCACTGGCATTACAGGTGTGTGTTATCTTGTGTGGCACCAGGCTTAAGGCCTGACTCCTTCCCAAAATGTTCTGGGGGTAAGTGTGGGAGTGAGGGTGCAGTAGGTGGGGAGTGAGGATGCAGTAGGTGGGGAGTGAGGATGGAGATGGGGAGTGAGGATGTAATAGATGGGGAGTGAGGATGGAGATGGGGAGTGAGGATGTAATAGATGGGGAGTGAGGATGGAGATGGGGAGTGAGGATGGAGATGGGGAGTGAGGATGGAGATGGGGAGTGAGGATGCAGTAGATGGGGAGTGAGGATGGAGATGGGGAGTGAGGATGTAATAGATGGGGAGTGAGGATGTAATAGATGGGGAGTGAGGATGGAGATGGGGAGTGAGGATGGAGATGGGGAGTGAGGATGCAGTAGATGGGGAGTGAGGATGGAGATGGGGAGTGAGGATGTAATAGATGGGGAGTGAGGATGGAGATGGGGAGTGAGGATGGAGATGGGGAGTGAGGATGCAGTAGAAGGCATTCTTTGCACACATAAGGTTCTGGATTTAATCTCTTGCATTGGGGGTAAGGACTATAGGGCATTCATGGGGGAACATGAGTATGCAATGTGGTGTGTGTTTAACATGTACAGTGTATGTACTCTTATACATGGTATATCTATCCCCAGGATGGTACTTAATTCAACAGGAGGAGCAGGCTTGCATTCTTCTATTAGTCCTTATGCCTGTGTAGAATCCACAGTCTCTGGGGGAACTGCAGAGAGAGGCAGAGTTTCTGGAAGAGAACAAGTGGTTCTCATGCCCAGGAGAAATGAGCAAACCAGACAGGGCTGATCCTTGGCAAGATATGCCAGACAGCCACTGATGCGGTAGCCCCTTGTACAGATGCTCCTGGCCCTGGGCCCTGCCCTGATTTGTCGCTGGCCCCCCTTCCCCCTTTTTCCTGCAGTGGTGGGGGATGGAACCTAAGCCCTTGCCAACGGTAGAAAATGCTTCATCACCAGGATGTCCTGTCTGCCCGCATTGCCACCTTCCTTTCGTTAGGCCTGACTCCAAGCAGAGTCCCTGGTCTGGAGAATACAGCCTTCCTGTGTCTTACCCTCTTGAACACGGTTTTGTCTTGCAGACTGACAAATTAATAAAGGGAGAAAGCATTTGCTTCAACCTGTGGGGCTTTCTCTTCCCTCTGAGGAACAGAGTGTACATTTTAAATCAGATAATCTGGAGATAATGTGCTTGTATCTGCTTTTTGCCTCTTAAAAATGCCTTTTATTTTGATCCAGGCAGGAGAGAGTTAGTGTCACGTCTGAAGAGAGATGCTGGGGGCAGCAGAGGGAGGCAGGACACAGAAATGGCGCCATATTGCTACCTGGCCAGACTGTTCCTCCACACATATGGTGAAGGCAGAAAAATGAGGGGCACCCGGATCTGGGAATGGGCGCTCAGCAGGAAGGTGCGTTTCCTCTTCCACAAGCCTGAGGCTCCTTCAGGGGTCAAATAGACCCCTGCCTGAGCCTCAGACCCTGAATACACAAGTAGCTTCAGTCTAGTTTTTACACATGGAGACTAAAATCAGTATTTACACAAGCAGGATGCCATGCAGGGGAGAGAAACAATGATGTGATGGGCAGGCAGCAACCGATGGTGATGGTGATGTAGTCCCAAACGTCTGCCTTCCCTCCCCAGGACACCTGCTTTGGCGAGCCTCTTTTTCCGTGTCCATGAGCACCCCTTTGCACACTGACATGCAGACTGACGCAGCTGCAAAGACGCAGAGGCAAGGCCTAGGGGGAGTGGGGGAGCTCCAGAGGCCAAGGAAAGGGACATCGGGCCTTAGGAGAAAGGAGGGAACAGTGGGTGGGGCAGGCCCCCAAGAGGTGAAAGCAATGAGAGCTGGCATTATCGAGTGTCGTTTAGAGAATAAGTTGACCAGGCAAGATGAAGGGGTATAAGGGCTCTCAGAAGGGCTAGGGAATGAATGAGGTGATATGTGGCGGCAGCTACTAAGGATACCTGATGTAAGCGTGCTGAGAAGCTCTTCCAGCGGGATCTACGGAGGGGTTCTTCCTACTTGTCCCGGCAGTTGCCTTCTGGGGTTAATGTATTTCTCTCAGGCCGCTGCTTGCCGGCTCAGGAACTGGCAAGGAGAGGATCCCTGCAGCAGCTGGGGCTGCTACCACCGTTCTAGCCCGTGGGCGGCGCCGCTGTCCGGGCTCTGGTGCTGAAGCAGAGGCAGCGGGGGCCTCCTGCGCATGCGTCCGCTCCAGAAACCAGTCGCTGGGCGGTGCCGAAGGGGAATCCACCAATGGACGCAGGACAGGAAGGAGGGCGGGGAGACTGGGACCCAAGCTGCCGCAACATCGGGGGGCTGGGGGGGTCGCTGCCACTAAGGTTCCCTGGAGGTTGCTGCACAGGCCTCTCTACCCTGGCCAGGTCTGATCATTGGCCTTAGTAATGCGGCCAAACCGCCCTTCCTGGACGCGTCGTTCTTATAAGAAACCAGACAGAACGACCCGTGCAAAAATCCTCACAACTTGAACCGCAGGCTTCTACACTTCATAGCGCAAGAGGGTTTGAGAGATCGGGTCTCATGAGTACCCCAATTTCTCTCTGCTTCTCTCCGTGTCCTTCTGTCTTCCCCAGGGTGTTAGGTATCCATACGCTTGGGCTGGGTCTTTCTTCCCACTTTGAACATGGCCTTGAGTCTGCGGCCTCTTTTTGCGTTAGAGACTCTTCTCTGTTTTTCAAAGTGCGCAACAAGGGGAGGGGGAGTGAAAGGAGGAGACTCAGAGAAATGCCCAGCCTCTTCCTTGCAGTCGCCACCACGCCCCACCTTCCACACACCTGATAGCCACCCCCTCCGGAGCGCTAGCCCGCCCTCACCAGCGACTAGCTGCGAAGGAAAAGAATATATTGGGGTGCTAAGAATTACAGTGGAGACCAGAAGTATGAGAAGCCCGCGGAGCGGAAAGATCCTGGACAGATTTGGATAGGCAAAAGCTGAGAAAGCGGGGGACCGAGGAGAGTAAGACTCACGAGGGTTTGGCTGGAAGATATATCCCTTAAGTGTGTCCAAGTGCTGGTCAGGGCAAGGCGTGGGTCATAGGGCAAGGACTGAGGGGATCTAGAGGCTTGGAAGTGCTTTGAGAGACTCACAGTTGGCTGGAGAGATAAAGGGCAGTCTTAAATTGGTGCCAGGCAGTCCGGGTGTGGCCAGGTCTATGAGGTAGCTCAGACCATCTCTGATCTGCCATTTGTGGCAGAGAAGGGGCAGGGTGCAAAGAGAGATGTTTCTTCCTGACCGGCTTGAGGAAAACTGTCTAGAGACAGCGGGGCTGTGGCTGGCTCTGAAGGCTTTGACAGTGTGAAGGTATGAAAGACCTTCACCTGGAGTGGAAACTAGGAGACTGCAGTGAAGGGAGGTTGGGAGGTTCAGTGTGCCTCTTCAGGAAATTGTGAGAATGTAATGACAATAGGGAGCTGTCCCCCCCAGATCAGTAGTCTTAAACAGTCCTATGCTGTGGCCACCACCAAGTCAAGCTTCTGGGAATGCCAAGATGGACATCCAGTCTTTACAACTTAGGTAGAGCTGGGCCTTGAGTGCCAGGTTGAATGTGAAGAAAGATAGTCTCTGGGGAGAGCAAACATGACCTCTAAGAGGCTATTTATTTGGAAGGAAAAATTCTGGCTTAGAGCTGGAGGCCGGGTCAGCGAGAAGGTTCTATGCAGACTCCTCATCTTGTGTTCTCATTTCTTCTGATTTCTCAGTGATGTGGACCACAGTGTCCTGGGCCATGGGGAGGGGGTGGGCCACAGTGTCCTGGGCCATGGGGAGGGGGTGGACCACAGTGTCCTGGGCCAGGGGGAGGGTGTGGGCCACAGTGTCCTGGGCCATGGGGAGGTCCTGGAGGGTGGTGTCCCCCAGGACAGTGTCCTGGACCATGACCATGGGGTGGCCCTCCGTGAGGATGGCAATGACCCTGTGGAAAGCCAAAAGGGAAATGTCAGAGTTCAAAACCAATGCCGACGGCTGCTGTCAGCTCCTCTTTACCTCCTCTCCCCAAGGGACTCAGGATTTCTAAACATCTGCGAGGGGTTATGATGGGGAGTTGGGTGACAAGGGACTGCTCCTGACCCTGCTCCTTTTGCAGTAAAGCCCCTTAAGCTCTGGTCCAGAAAGGGGGGGAGATGTCTAGTTGTCTCTTGTTTATTCTGCAAAGGTGTACCCTCTTTCCCTGGTCCTTGGGTTATTTATTTGTAAGAACAAAATTATCTCATAGACCCCTTCCCTGACTTGGGGCCCCTAGCAGAATGGCTACAAGTTCTGCCTTGCTAGAAATGACACCTTGCTATATTTAAGAGCAAAGATGAAGCTGGGGAGGCTGGAGGGGAATTCCCTGAAAAGCTGGTAGGGAGAAATCCAGGCTCTGAGAAGAGATGTGGCAGGTCAAAGGTAGGAGGCAGAAAACAAGGATGTGTTTGTGTGTAAATAGGAACTGTGTTAAATTCATATAAAACAGCTATGGTTGCAGAGTATGGTGGCACATGGCCTTAACCCTCCGAGGAGTCAGAGGCAGAAGATCTCTATGAGTTTGAGACTAGCCTAGCCTGATCTATATAGTGAGTTTCAGGCCAGTTAGTTCGTGTATGTCTATATAAGATGAGGTCCTGCTTTAATTTATTTTTTGGCCAGGTGTGGGAGTGCACACATTTAATCCTAGCACTCAGGAGGCAGCGACTGGTGGATCTCTGTGAGTTCAAGGCCAGCCTAGTCTACATAGGAAGCTCCAGACCTGTCAAAGCTATATGGGGAAACCCTTTCTCAAACAATAAAAACCAACAACAAACAAATAAATAAATACAAATTTAAAGCTGTGTCTGGATATGGAGCTCAGTGGTGGAGAACTTGTCCAGAAAGTACAAACCCAGCACTGTGAGCAACAAAACCACAGCAAAATGCTATCTATGATTGTGTATATTCCCGTGGGTAGGTACATAAGCATGTACACATATGCACACAGATGCATGCACAGGTTGCCTGGGTATGAGCCTATAATGCCTCTGAACAGCTGCCAGGCCCAATCAGGAAGAAGAGAAAGTAAAGTTACACGTCCGCTTCTCAGATCCAAGAGGCCCGGGAAAGTATTGTTTAACCTTCTTTCTTGGCTGGAGACCAGAAGGGCTGATCGATTGTGATTGGCCCAAGAGAAATCATTTTACCTGTCTAGGGCACTGGGGTCTGAGCCCAGTGGGGTAGAGATGGGGCTATGCCCCTACTCCGGGAGTAGGATGGTTCCCCACTCTGCTTTGACCTCCCAGGGGTCTGAGTAAGCAGAGTACAGGTGGGAACGGGGACTTTCTGCCTACAGCGGTCCCTGCCTCAGGAAACAGCCACATCCCACCATTCTCCTCTTTTCTATGGCAGGTTACAGATCCGGGAGAGGGAGTTGGGCTGTTGCTGGGTGGGAGGGGGAAGTGGGGAGCAGGCAGCCTTCCTTTCCTTCCATAGCAGAAGCCTGTCCCAGGAGCCCTGCCCGGCTGGGGCTTGGGAGCAAGCCAGCCCTCTAGCCAGGGGAGCACAGAACAGGCTGGGAAGCAGCAGGAGAGAGGATGAGCTGCGGGGCCAGGGGAGGAAAGTGAGGAAAGGGAGAGACAGATGGGAAAACAGAGGAGAGAATGCCAAGGAGAAGGTTGCGGTTGGCAGGGGGGTGGGTAACTACAGCAGTACCCCGCCCTTCCCAGGCTGGTGCCTGAGTCTTCCTGACTTCATTTAGCACAAGTACTGGTCCCAGAATGAGGAGAACCTGAAAGAAACGGCCAGGGTGGGGGTGGGGGTGGGGGCAAAGGGAAGAAGGCTAGAGAATGTTCCTACCTTGTGACCTGTTGGAGAGAAGGGGACAAGAAACAGCAGCTTCAGTCATTCGGTTCCGAAGGGGACAACCTGACTTCTCCCTGATGCTAGCTAGTTTTGTACCCACCCCCCCACCCCCAACAAGGCTCCTTAGACCTGGCCACCGGTCGGCCCGACAAGCATTCCTTCATTCATCCACTCACTGTGGATTCACATTGAAAGTCAGTACAAGGCCCATTTGTGCATCCCCGTGGGCTCAAAAGCTGGCTGAATCCCCTGGGTGGCATTGGGCCAGGTGGGAGGTTAGGCTTTTGTCCACACTGCCAGTGCTCTGCCTCCTAACCTTGGTCAAATTTCAGGGCATCAGGGAGGCATTCTGTTGTGGTAAAGCCCAGTTCTTCTTTGTCTATCTCCATCCGGGCCCCAGCCAGTCTCCCCGGTTCATTCCCAGTTACAGCCCTTCAGAGCTGCGTGTTGGCGTCTGCTGTATCCTGGTTGTAACCTTCTGGTCTCTGAGCCTTTGTTATGCTGTCTGCTGCTTGGAAATCTGTCTGGCTTCACTCTGCCTTTCTGCACAGAGGGGATTCCACATCACTGGGGCACGGGGAGCCCCACTGTGGACACAACAGCTTATTCTACCAGAGCCACCTGTGTGGTACTGGTGTCCCGAAAGGTAAATTTGGTGGGAGTTCTAGTTCTTTTGCATCTTTTGAGAGGATCCAGTGGCACAGCTGCTGGGCTCTGGGCTCCTCTGGGCTCTTCTGGGCTCTAGACCCAACAGTGCCTTTCATGCCCTCACCTTGAGCGTAACGCTGACTTTCCTGGGCCTCATGTGTACCCTCGGAGAGGAACCTGCCTGATTTTCTCCTGAGGTTGGAGAGCTCGTGAGATGAAAGATGCGCACACCTGTTTCTTAAACTGTAATATGCTCTTTGGAATACAAAAGCTTGCATTTTGAAAGCCTGCACACACGCCTATACACACACATATGCGTGCACGCCGGGCATTCGGTAGACATGGCTGACTTCTGCCTCTGCCCTCCCCACTTTCCTTCCTTTTCTCTTCCCTCTTCTACCTCCCAGTCCCCCAGCCTCACTGCTTACCTGGATCCATCTTTATGCAGCAAGAACAGGAAGTGACACACACAATACCTGTGGTTAACGGAGAAAGTTTTAGTTTGCAGTGATCTAACCCCTCTCCCCATCTATCTCTTTTCCTTCTTCCCTCCTAGGGCTGTGCACACATAGAAAGGATGCCTGCCCTGTGCCCTGGTCATGATACACTCCCTATGTTGGTCTCTGTATAAACACATGGCATAGAGATGGTGTACAGAGGCTTGGAAAGGTCAGTGTACCCAGAGTGGGGGGGATAGAACGGACTGATGAGTCTGAGCTTCTGGGGACCCGGGAGACAGCTTTGTTCTTGCCTCACAGATGAATGGAGAGCCTTCCAGAGCCTTCCATTGCCTCCTACCCTACAGATTGGGAAAGGGTGGAAAGTTTAAGATCTGAGTCAATTTGTCATTCACTGACAAGTTCTCATCATGTGGGACAGTTGAGGTTTAGCCTCATCTTTTGGGGCCTGGCATGCAAATCACAATTAACAAGCATAGAATGGACCAGTACAAATGACATAATACACTTGAAGACTAAAAGTATCAAGGCTCTCTGAACTCATATGGTGACTGAGCATATGAGCACAGAGGTTCACACACACACACACACACACACACACACACACACACACACACACACACATACACACACACCTCTAATACAAAAGACCTAGAGCTGCAGACCAAATGTAGAGCCTTGTACTTGGAAAGCAGGCTGTCTACCACTGAGCCTCACCTCGGCCCCCCAAAACCATTCATTCTTTTTGGCTTTTGTATGTTCAGCTGAAATCAGTCCCAAATTATGATCATAGTCTTTCCCATTTGCTATTCTTTTTTATTTGTATTTTTTATGTGTACGGGTGTTTTGCCTGGCCTTACATCTGGGCACCATGTTCATGCAGTGCTCACAGAGGCCAGAGGAGGACACCAGATACCCAGAAACTGGAATTACATGTGGCTGTGAGACGTATCTTGTGGATGCTGAGAATTGAACACAGGTTCTCTAGAAGAGCAGCCAATGGTCTTAACTGCTAAGCCATCTACCTCTTCAGCCCAGGTTGCTTCCTACTCTTTACCCTTAACTAATGATGAACTTGGCAGAGTTTCATGAGGCTGGACTTGGGTGTCTGAGGGGAGGTACAGAAAATCCTTGGTTCAATCAAGACCTGAATTAAAAACAAGAGAAAAGACAGTCCTTGGAATGTCTTTGCCATTCAGGTCTAGCTATTGAGAAACAGGAATTGTCTGCTCTAGAAGAGTCTTAGCGTGCAAGTCTGCAACTCTCAGGTGAGCCCTCTATCTGGCCTGTCACTTCTAACTCCTGCAGAGTGAGGTACAGGGGCCAGCCTGGAAGGTGGGGAGGGCAGGCAGGCAGGTATGCATACAAATACACAACCACCTGGCACAGACACATACATCCTTTAGAAACCAAAGACCCAGAGGCACGACCACCAACCAGTTCAATGCACAAATACATACCCAGAGACACTAGGACCTCATAGTCACCCCCTCCACTCTCACAGAGCCCTCTCCCTTTACACCCTCAGCAAGCAGGGCCAGGTCCTTACCTGAGAGTGCAGAGTCAGAGACAGGAAGGTTGAGACTCTGTCTCACCCAGGGGAGTATTTATACAAGAGAGGGTTGGGCTGGGTCAGGTCATATGCTCTAGAATAGAAGGTTCAGGGAATGATGAGGGATGGGCTAATCTCTACCTGGGCAAAGAGCACTAGGAAATAGGATAGGGTGGGGTGAGGTGGGGTGGGGTGGGGTAGAGCAGATGAGGAGAGTGGGGAGCATTCTCAGAGCCAGATTCAAGGTCACAAGTGAGTGCTTCCACATACTGGACAGGTGGAAGAGCAAAAGTGACCCTAAGCACATTTTTGCTTTGCATTCCATGGCCCAGGTGAGTTCTTAAATTGGCCCCATCCAGAAAGCTTGTCTGGAAACAGAAGTTTTACACAGTGGGAAGGAGATCAGGATGGGGCAGAAAGGATGAACCTAACTGCTGGTTTGCTCTGCCTTTACCAAGCCTTTTGTAGGCTGCCCATGCTGCGGCCTCAACTCTCTTAAGTGCCACAGTGATTTGCTTTGTGTGCTTTCTCTCTCAAGCCGACCAGGAGCCCCTACTTTCTGGGATCCTTTCTTCTTCTTCTTCTTCTTCTTCTTCTTCTTCTTCTTCTTCTTCTTCTTCTTCTTCTTCTTCTTCTTTTTTTTGGTTTTACGAGACAGGGTTTCTCTGTATTGTTCTGGAGGCTGTCGGTCCAGCCCAGCCTCGAACTCACAGAGATCCGCCTGCCTCTGCCTCCCGAGTGCTGGGATTAAAGGCGTGCGCCACCACCGCCCGGTTTGGGATCCTTTCTTCTAATGCTTTTTATTCCCACTGACCTCTGTGTGCCTCAGATTCAGGGACTCAGTGGCTCCCCTCAGTCACTTGACCACTGATGACTCTCCTGGCATTAGTAAATGCCTAGTAAATTCAGGGAATGACATTCTTTTTATTTTATTTTTAAATAGCCAGAGGGGTGGTGGCGTATGCTTTTAATCCCAGCACTCGGAAGGCAGAGTCAGGCGGATCGCTGTGAGTCCCTGGCCTACAGAGGCCAGGATTGTTACACAGAGAAACCCTGTCTCAAAAAAATAAAACAAAATGAAACAAACAAACAAAAAAGAATAAAGAACTTAGAAAACTGATGAAGACAGCAGACCAGTAGGCATAGAGAAGAGGAACACAGAGGAGGGCAGGAAGAAACAAAAGATTGGTGTTATGGCTTCATGAAGTACACACATAGCAAAGCAACTTGCGCAATTCAAATATGCATGGTTTATGGCATGTCAATGTGATCTCAATTAGAGTTGTAAAATAAAAAGCACCATAGTCACCCTCAGAAAACAAGATGAAAATATAGGAGGGAGGTGCCTGCCAACCAGGATCCTCTACAGCATCAGGGAGCTCAGATCATATATATATTAGAATATTACATATGTATATATTACTATTATATATATTATATAAATAAATAAAACATAAAATATTACATTATGGGTATTTTGCCTTATGTATGTCTATGCACCACCTGAATGCCTAGTGCTCTTGGAGGCCAGAAGGAGTCAGATTCCCTGGAACTCGAGTTACACATGGTTATCAGCTGTCATGTGGGTCCTGCAAATTGAACCCTGGTCATTTGGAAGACCAGCTAATGCTCTTAATTTCTGAGTTTTCTCTCCAGACCTCCCCTCTAGGAGGTGCTGCCCTTCCCCCTCTTTTTTAATTTTTTAGACGTATAATTTATTTTGCTTTAAGTGTGTAGGTATCTCATGCACGTAGGTATTTCATGCATGTAGGTATCTCACACTCCCCTGGGTTATTCATGGTGTGAGTCACTTTGTGGGTGCTGGGAGTGGAACCTGGGTTTTCTTCAAGAACAAGGGCTCCTAATCACTAAGCCATCTCTCCAGACTCTGTGTGTGTGTGTGTGTGTGTGTGTGTGTGTGTGTGTGTGTGTGTAGACTTAGTCTCTCACAGCTGAGACTAACCTTGAATTTCTGATCCTCTGCCTCCATCTCTGGAGTGTTATTAGAGGCATGCACCACCACACCCAGCCTTATCTTCCCTTTTTTGACAGATTCGAAAAGGACTGTGGTTTGGAGGTATTAAGAGATTTGCCAGTGTGCAGCAGTCCTAATCAGGGGCTGCCTGAATCTAGAGCCTGGGCTTTTCTTAGATTGAACCATCTTGCTTTCAGGAAGGCGTTTCTAAAAAAAAAAACAAAACAAAACAAAACAAAAAAAAAGAAAACCAAAACACTCCAGCCTGCTTTGGAAGGTCTGCAGAGGACTTTGCTTTACAAGTAGGCGGGGAGCTTTGTGTACATTCCTTGCCTTTCTGAGAAGAGTGAGCCAAGGCAAAGGCAGCAGACAGGCAGAGCCCCAGAAGAGGTTTGCAAAGGTGTGGTGGCCACGAGGCTCCCACATTGCAGACCGTGCTGAGGAGATGGCACTCCTATGCCTATAACCCCCTGTGTTTACCAGCCCTCCTCTTTCGGGAGTCTTCCTATTCTCTCTAAGGGACACTGATACTACATCTCCTTCACGGCCAGCCTTGGGCAGGAGGCTGAAAAGAAAGCTCTCTGAACTCGTAGAGCTCCCCAGGAAGGAGATGGGAGCAGTGCTCTGGGCTCCAGGTTTGGGGCCTCGGTTCCTCCTGTCTCTGGAGTCCCTAGCCTAAGGTAGGGCAGGCCAAAGTGGAGGTGCTGAGGACTGTCAAAGGGGAGCTAGACTGTCTCGATGGGATAGATAGAGAAGGTAAGGCATTGTGGGTACCCTGGAGGCCAGAGACCTTGAGGCAACAAGGAGGCTGCCAGAGCAGGGGCGGACACATCGGGGCATCCACGGCCGAGCATCTGTTGCTTCTTGCCCTCCACAATCCTAAGAGCCCCGTCACATGTGTATCCCCTCCACCCTTCAGCGCTGTGCCGTGCAGAGTAAACGCTCTCCTAATACTCGGTTTAAGGCTTGGTTGACGGAGGACAACTTCCAGTCAGAAACCCCCGGAGAGGTGACCTGGTGGAAGGTGGAAGGGCATGTCTGTGGGAGAGGCTGGAATGAGGGTCGGGATCAGGAAAAAGAAAACATGTTAGGGAGTCTCCGGGGCAATGTGGGGGGTGGGGGGGCAGCATGTGGGCCACAACCCTCTCTGTGACATTCCAATATCTGTCAAGAGAGCTAGCCAAGCCACTCTGCTCCCTGGCCTGCCCAGCAGCCGGTTAGACGTGTGTGTGTGTGTGTGTGTGTGTGTGTGTGTGTGTGTGTGTGTGCGTGCGCGTGTATCCAGATGCCTTGGTTTGGTGGCTGTGCTGATAAAGGAGGCCCACCCAGGATGTGGGCGGGAGGAAGGGCCATTAACCTCTGATTCAGGACGTGCCAGACAGCAGGGAGAAAGCCTCACCATGGAGACATTGATCAGGTCACTGACCGTGCCCTCCTCAGAGATGCCAATAACACCAGCCCAGGCTCTTTCACACATTCCAGAACTTGAGGAGATCAAATGATGTCACAGGTGTGAGACTCAGCAAGCATAAGCTGTAGGTGCAATGTGTTACTGTAGCGAGTGTGAGCATCCTGGTGGGCTTAACTGTCTAACCCCATCGCTCCTCCCCTGCTTCACTCTGGGCATCTGGCTGCTGGACACATTGTTGTAATTTAAAAATAAAATACATAAAAAAAAAGCCACTGGAGAGAGAAAGACACCATGCAACAGAGCTCAAGTGGAGGGCTTTTTGTTTGTTTCTTTTTGAAAAAAGGTTGTAAAAAAGGGAAAGGTGAGGAGGGAGACCAGCCTCTGGGGACAGGCAGAGAGGGGGGGGGCTGGGCCCCTTTAAAAGGTAACATAGTGAACAGGCCCAGGTGGTGCTCTTAGTGGCAACAGCTCAGGTCGCATCCTGTCAGAACCCCAAGAGCAGGCCAGTACAGATGCCTGAGTACTAACACACATCATCACCTTTGGCTTTTGCATCCTTCAGAACACTGTGTGGTTGCTCCTGAGGGATGCCTTGCTGACCCCATCTCCTTTGTTGGAACATTCAGTGAGATGAACATATATTCCTAGCAGAGGACCCTGTACTAAAACAGGGACAGACATGGGCAAACAGAGATGACTAGTCACCCTGTCCCTCCCTCCACCCTTCAGGTTGCCAACTTTTTCTCATCAGCTAGCTTTGTGGCCACAGTATCCTAAGCCTGACCTTGTGATATGTGTTTTCTCGCTTGGTTGCTGTCTCCCGCTTGGAAGCCTCAAGTCCAATGAAGGTTTCTCATCATGCTATCCAATCCCCAACCCCATAGCACCTGGACAGCTCCTACCCATACTTCAGCCTGCTCATGGGCTTCTGTCCTTGTCACCCTTCAAAAGTGTGCCAGACCCCCCTATTCCCACCAGATGTGGCCTGACTCACACTCCACCCCAGGCAGTGAGCCTCAAGGTTGGTAGAACCCGCATAGCCCAAGATGGCTTTCCAGCTTCTGTCCCTGAACCTCCACCCCTTGGTCCAGTCCCTCGTGAGGAATGCAATAGGGACACACAGGCTAGCTCTTTCTGCTTCCCACTTCCATGAGGACTCCTGGCTTGACACTTCATGACTGTCCTGGCTCTGTGTCCACAGTGGCTGTTGGTTCCCCCAAGACTTTCCCCCTGCCAGGCCCAGGCTCTGGTGTCTGGATACTGCCTTGGATGCCCATCCCAGTTGCGTCAACTGACCCTTCTTAGACCTTCCAGCTTCAGCTTCCTAGACTGCCCTGCTTTGGAAACCTCCGTGAGTTCCCTGGCTTCCTCATCTCTCAGGCTGCCCTCTAGTGACCTCCCCAGTCTGGCTGCTACCTTCCTAATTTGACATTCTCTTGTTAGTAAAGGTCACACACCTTTAATCCCAGCACTGGGGAGGGGAGAGGCAGGCAGGCGGATCTCTGAGTTTGAGGCCAGCCTGGTCTACAGAGCAAGTTCCAGTAGAAGGGCTACATAGACATACACATGTGCAAACACACACACACACACACACACACACACACAGAGAGAGAGAGAGAGAGAGAGAGAGAGAGAGAGAGAGAGAGAGAGAGAAGTTCACCATTGTTTCTCTGTCCTTCCCACTCGGTTCTTACTTATATGGACGAGGTGAAGACCTTAGTAGATGTCCTGCCAATGGCGTGTGGTGAGCAGGCAGGTCCTGATGAAGGCAGCACTCAGCCTCTTCCAAGGATGGCACTAGGCAGGGAATGCAGGGTTCTGGGGAAAAACTGTGAGTCTGCTCCCCCCTCAGGAAGGTCACTGCCCCAGCCCAAGGAGTCCCCAGGACTTCAGTCCCACCCTGGGGTTCACCTCCCATGGTTAGGATTGGGGCTGAGGAACACACAGACTGGGTGTGTCCTCAGAATGGGCATTGCAGCCTGGGGTGTTGGAAAATGGAGAGTCTCAGGCAGGTCACCAGCTTCCTCCAGAAGCCACCCTGCTGTGGCATGTGTGCTTTTGGTAAGGTAGGGCCCAGATTTTGGAACCTGGTCAGGACTGGTCCCTCCAGTCCTACTTCAAACACTCTGAGGTCTCCATTCCAGGCCCAGGAGGTCAGGACAGCATTCCACGAGACAGGAATGTCCGCAGCAGAAGCGGGTTGTGGGTGGGTCATTACGAAAAGGAATATGCTTCGAGCTGCCCTCTCCCTCCATCTGGAGGGTGGCCTATCTAGTAGTTGGGCCTTACGCAGCCCAGCCTTGACTGTACTCTTCTACATTTCCCCACTAGTGACCTCTAAGAACTCAGCCTCAACAAAGAAGAGCCTTCCCCGAATACAGGGATGGGAGACTCAGACAACCAGCTGGGGTCTGCAGGCAGATCTAGGACAGGGTCTGCTTCCAGAAGCTCCTGCGCTGGTGTGGCAAGGTCTGGGGCCTGGCATAGGGAGCAGATGCAGAGGATTTGGGGTGGTGGTGCAGAAGCCCAGGAAAAGAGGTCCAGAAATGGGCTGGGCATTAGTGGTACACACCTTTAATCCCAGCACTTGGGAGACAGAGGCAGGCAGATCTCTGTGAGTTCGAGGCCAGCCTGGTCTACAAAGCGAGTTCCAGAACAGCCTCCAAAACAATACAGAGAAACCCTGTCTCAGGGGAAAAAAGGTCTGAAAAGGATGCTACAGGGGCACCTCAGGATATCACTAGTACTTTCCAGATATCTTAGATAACAGCCAAGAGCTCAAGTTCCCTAGAACAGGGTGAGGTAGCCTTGGGCACTCCCTAAAGGCCTCGGAGGAGATGACTATTATGAAGTTACCTGAGGCAAGAAGAAAACTGTTTGAACCTTCCTCTGAGCCACGCATTGTTCCAAATATGGATGTTGCTAGGTATTTGGATGCTATCATCACATGACTCACTGAGTGATAGCCATATTGTTTTATAGAAGTGGAGAGATAAGGGACCCTGCCTGTAAGGAGGGAGAAGACCGGAACCCACCATCCTGCCTGCCTCTTCCTAGACCAAGCCTGAGGAGTAGGGCAAGGGCCCAAGTACCATACGTGACCAGCCAGAGGTGCACAGGGGCAGCCACTCGAGGTGGGGAGGAGGGCCTGAGTGTCATCGCCTCCATGGTGGACTTCTTAGGCCTTTGCCCCTAGGAAGATGTCCCTGTTTCTCCCAGAGAGAAGCTTGGACTTACAGCCATCTTGTTCTTTTAGTTGGCTGTATTTTTCCAGATGTCACTAACGATGTCGGCCCTGCAGGTGTGGCGGCCACCTGAGTTGGCAGGTGGCCTGGGAAGGTGGGGAGCCGCCACAGGAGAGCAATGATTCAAGCCCAGGCCACTCCACCTAGTAGGAGAAAGGCAGAGGACAGAGAGAAGTCTCAATCCAATTAGCTTTGGTGGGGCAGCTGTGAGAAGAGACAAGGAAGCTTCCTGGGACAGCAAAGCCACCGCCCTGACTCTCTGTGTTGTCTGCAGCTCTAACGGTTGTGGCATCCCAAAAGGCAACATCTCTCTGGGCCTGTTTCCTCCTCACAGGACAGTCGGTCTAGTCTGATGAAGTTGGAAGGTGGGGTTGAGCTAGACTTGGGAGACAACAAGAAAGAGGGGTGGCCCCTCCCCCACCCATAGCCAAGCTTTTGGAATGTTTCTGCCCCCTAGTGGTGACTCAGAGTAAAAAAAAAGCATGTTTGGGAATACCAGACTGGAAATCCTCCTGCCTCAAAGCCCCCCCCTCCCGTCCCCTGCCCCAGGATCCTTTGCCACTCACCTGCCTCTTAGGCTTATGTGCATTCTGAGTGGCAGAAAGGCAGTCACAGCCCGTACACAGGGTGCCCACAGTGACACACAGTATAGCACCGGCTATTTCCATACTCACCCTGCCAGCAATGAGGCTCTGTGGCATGGAGGCACCAGGCCAGGCCCTGAGGAATCTCAGGGCACTTGTCTGTCCGATGTGAGAGCAGAGAAGCAAATGGTGGGTTGTGGAGAAAGTGGGGGGACTGCTCAAGAGCGTGACAAGCTGTGTGAGTGACACCCGGAAGTTCACGGTCAGCAGCTGTGGGTTTGGTCTTGACTGTAGGTTTGTTCAGGGTACATGGCCCTTCAGCCCAATAGCTGGGAAAACTTTGTTTCTACATTCAGGATATCTTCCTGCAGTCCTTCCAGAGGTCTGGGCCATCCTCTCGTTAGGGTAGTCAGATTTTTGCCCGTGCCCCCTGACCCTGGCCAGGAGTGGGAGCCGAGATGAACAAAGACCTTGCCTTATCTCTGTAGTCTATCCATACCCCGCCTCCCTAAACCTGGTCAAGGGACTAAAATGACTAAAAGGGGGGACAGCCTTACGTCTCTTTCTTTCTAGGACTGGGCTCTGGGGACCTCCTAGCTGAATGAAGCATAGCAGGGGCAGGTATAATGGGAAGCTTGAGACTTCTAGAGACCTGTGGGGTAGCACTGAACTCAGCAGTATTTGTGGGGCAGGGTGCAGAGTGCAGAGAAGGTGGGAGAAAGGGAGAGACATGCGCGGGCACATGTGCGCGCTAGAGTGTGTGTGTGTGTGTGTGTGTGTGTGTGTGTGTGTGTGTGTGTGTGTGTGTGTGTGTGTGCAGACAAAGCGGGGAGGGAGGCAGAGAGAGATCTAGGAGCTTGGGTGCGTCACTGTTGCTGGGAAAGTACATAGTCTGACTCAGTGGGAACATCCGGCAGGAAGGGAGGAGGGTACACAGTGGCATTTGCAAGCAGGATGGGAACTCTGGAGCTGCAGAGATGGGGTGTGGGGCCAGGGGTGAAGCATGGGCAGCAAGGGGCTGAGGACAGTGACAAGAGAATTCAGAGAAGGGAGATGCTGATGAGGTCTAAGAGCCAAGGTCTGTTGGGGACACGGGGAATGCCAGAGTTTGTGATCCTCATTTCAAGGCCTGGAAGTCAGGACCCCATAAGGACTGAAGCTGCCCTAGGCACCCCTGGGCTGAGAGACTGGCCTCAGCTGTGTGAAGACTGCTGGGAAAGGGGCCTGTGTCCTTTCTTGGGGCCAGAGGGTCTGGAAAGGTCATCCCTGGAGTGCAAGGCAGAGAAAGACCCTGTGAGAGGATCCCACAGGAAGAAGGCTGTTGACTGCTCTGAGTGGAAATGTTAAGGACCCAAGAGAAAGGCCCATCTCAGCATAGTAAAGGGCTGGAGACCCAGAGAGTTAGGCCTCCAGGAGTGACTATGCTTGGAGTACAGAGAAAACCGTGTTCTACCGCAGGGAACAAATGATGGAGAGAGGCCTTTGAGGCCTGGGAGGAGGGTTTCTCACTCTTACCTAGTGACTTAGACCTCCACTCCCTGGACAGCCGGCAGGAAAGCAGACGTGGGGTCCTCAGGGGGTGGGGTCTGCACCCCTTGCCTTTTGCTACTACTGAGGAGGATGAAGACCTATGCTATCCACCCATTCTGTTTGCAGGCAAATACAGGCAGGGGTCTTACTGGGGCTAAGGAGCACAGGTGAAGGTGGGCCCTGGGCGCCTAGACTTCCTGTGAGGGTCCACTGAGGCAGGGCAGGGAAAGGTGTTGGACAAGACTAGGCAGCTGCTGGTGCCCTGGTCCTCTGAGAGTGGAAGGGTGGGGGTGGCGGCCAGGCGTTCCTGGCTGGGAGCCCAGAGCACTCTTTTGTAATCACAACATGATCTCTTGTGCTGAGCAGAGAAGCCCAAGCCGGCAGGGAGAGGCCGACAGGCCCGGCTCTGGTGGCTCCAGCTTCCCTACAGTTCTGGCTCCAGGGGCTGCTTTGGAATTCTCTCAGTGCCTGCTATTTCCATGCATTTGGCTGTGAGTGGCACCTCTTCTTGGGCAGAGGGCTTCTAGAGGATGGGAGGGGGCTGAACTACTAAGCAGCCACATTCTAGAGACAGCTGGTGACAGCTGGGCCCGGGAGGAAGAAGGCCATGCTGAGGCAGGTGGTGGGCTGGGCAAGTCACCGGGCAAAAACACAGACCCTGCAGCCAGACAAGAAGGACCTCAGATCTTGATGCAGAGATGTAGTTTGCCTAGAGTAGCTCCTGACCTGCTGCTCCCCTGCCCATCAGCCAGCGGCTCAGACCTGGAGGCTTGGCTGAGCCTGTGGGAGGAGCTCTCTCCTACAGACTGGGCACAGGCCTAGGGTGTGGGTTCCAGTGCCTGGGAGGCCAGAACTAAGCTGAGGCCTGTGTTTTGTGTGTGTGTGGTTCTAGATTTGGGAAGCAAAGAGTCCCTCCCGCCTCGACCTCCTGAATCCCCTGGCAGCTTCCCAGTCATGGCGGGTTCGGCTGCCAGAGCCATTTTTAACTCCCATTCCAGGCTGTGCTCACAGTAGAACTCCCTGGAGAGCCAGGGGGAGGGGCAGCCCGCTGCTGAGAGCAAAGGCCCTGGGTATGGAGCCCTGACCTGAGCCCCCTGAGGAGGCAGACTGGCAGACAGGCCTCTTCGGTGGAATGGGGCTTGGGGCCTTGCATAGGCCATCTTCCTAAGGAACCCCTCCCCTTCCTTCTGCCTTAACTTGGGGATATGACCTGCTCCTAGAGTGGGAGTGTGAACGTTGGGTCATTGGATTCCTTGTCTTCTGTAGGTGCCTCACAGAGCTGAGTCCACAATGCGCAGACATGAGGAAAAGGATGCCGAGTTGGACCGTAGGATAGTTGCCCTGCGCAAGAAGAACCAGGCCTTACTGCGCAGGTACCAGGTGAGTGGGCTGTAGAGGCTGAGGGGGCTTCTGTTCCTGGGTCCCTCAAAAGCCTGTTTGTATAGGGGGTTCTTTCTGAAGGCTCTAGACCATATCTCCAGAGTCTGGCTCAGGGTTTGGGTGGAGTCTCTCTCAGAGACATGGTCAGAGTCTTGGGCACTGGTGACATGGTGCCTCTGCCCCCTGGTGTCCCACTGGTGTTTCTCTGTGTAGGCCTGTCAGCTCTGTGTGTCTGTGGGCCTGGGTGGCTATGGCCTTGCTGACCCCAGGCCCTCCCACAGGAGATCGAGGAAGATCGTCGCCAGGCAGAGCAGGGGGGCATGGCTGTGACCACAGCAGGGCTCTTCCAACCCAACTGTCTCACAGTCACCATCAGCCAGGTTCCTGGTGTAAGTCTCACCCTGGAGACAGGCAAAATTGAGGCCTGGTCCATGCCTAGGGTTTTACAACTACCCCACTTTCTCCTATGTGCCTTTGTGGGTGTCCCCTTCCACCAGCAACAGGCCTCCTCAACAATCAAGTATTGCTCCCCCTCCCCCACCAGGGCTGCCAATGAAAGGCCACCAAACAGAACCATTTTACAGTCTTTTCCAGTCCCTTGGCTCTGTACATATGCTCTAAGGCACAGCCCCAGCCCCTGAGGCCGAACCCTGCAGAAAGCAGAGGACAGAGAAGCCTGTGCTGAAAGCAAAAGAAACAGTGTCCTAGAGATAAGGCTGTTTTGTCTGTGTGCTCTGGCTTTCTCAGCGCAGAGATGACAAGCCCTGGTGGCATCTTGGGCCCCTGGGCTGGCTCTGAATAGCTAATCTCATTGGCATGTGGGCTCCTGAAAGGCCAAGTTTCTCCATGGGCATTCCAGAGAGGGTTAGGGCTAAAACCCAAACCTAGGAACCCCCTACCCAGCACCCAGCACCCAGCACCCAGCACCCAGCACCCAGCACCCAGCACCCAGCACCTGGTCCTGCCCAGGACTGCCCATGTGGCCTAAAGACACAGGTGTCTCACTCTGCAGGAGAAGAGGGTGGTCAGCAGAAGCTGGGCCAGGGTGCCCTCTCCACACGGGACAGATGGTGACGGTGCTGCAGACTCGACGGGCACTTTCTGCATGGGGGACAGGGTGGAACTAGCTGTGACCATGGAAAACAAAGCCAGGGTGAGCAGTTGGAGCTCCCAGACCCCAGGTAGGTGGTCGCTTATCCCTTGGCTCAGCCATGATGCCCGTCTACACCCTCTGTAGGCCAAACGGATCGTAAGTGAAAAACCCACCACCCAAGCAAGGAGCCCAAGGGCAAAGGGGACATCTGGAGGAGACCGGGGCCAGAGTTTGCCCCTGCAGATGACTTCCAGCACAGATTCAGCAGGGAAGAAGGTACATCTTCAAGAAGGGGTAGGGACACAAATTGGCAATGCCCATTCGGAGGCGGCAGAGAAACTGACATATATGTCCCTTGCCTGAGGGAACTTGGCCTAGGCACCTTTGAGAATTCTCATGCTCTCCCCTTCTCTGGTTTGTATGCACTTTGGATGCCCTTTGCTGTGAGAAATGGTTTAAGCCAGAGATATGATCCAGACTTGTTAAGACCCATGACTCAACTCCAAAGGTGTCAGAGGGATGTGTAGGCGACTGGCTGTGTGCCAGCTGTGGCCTCTAGGTGGCAGCAGCCCCTTGTAATTGCTCTTGATCTTGCTCAGCCTGTGGGTGCCCCTCCTATCTACTCGAGACACCTCCTTTTACAGATACGGTTAAATGACTGGTCCCAAACTGACGGCTAATAAGTGTTTGGATGCAAACAGTCCATAGCAAGCATCGCATGCTGGAGATGAGACAAACCTAGTCATATACTGGGATGTGGAGACCCTTGGAGAGGAAGGGCTTAGCAGACTACCTGGAGCTCCGCTTGAATCCTCTCGCTGCATGTCCCCACAAGCTTAAGTGTCTTTCCCTTGCAGGGTGTTCTGGACTCCCCGGGTCCAGGCGCAGCCCCAGGCCCACCTCCCCAGCAGTCCCTGGGACTACCTCCAGACGCCAGCTGGGACTACAGGCAGTGGAAACAGGAGAGAGAGCAGATTGACTTGGCCCGCCTTGCCCGGCACAGAAATGCACAGGGTGACTGGAGCCGCCTGTGGGACCTGGACAAAGCCAAGTCCATGTGGGTGGCATGGTTGAGCAGCTTGCTGAGCCGTTGTGTTGTGGGACCCGGGTAGGGCGAACTATGGGTGCTTCTTGGAGGGACAGGACCTGCCTCAGACCTCTGGTGAGACTTTGGGCCCAGGGTTCTGTGTGCCCCTCTTTCCTGAGTCCACTACCTTTGTGCCCTGAGCTCTGAGGGAGGCAGTGTTAGCATGGAGTCTGATGCAGCTTCTGTCCACATTGCCACAAGTGACCTAATGCCCTCCTTGCCTAACACAGGCCACAGGACTGCAACAAGCAGAGAGACAGGGACTCGACCACAGGCAGAAAGGGTGAGCCAATGTCTACCTCATGTCCACTGCCTTGTTTGTTTGTTGAGACAGCCTCAGCCCGGGCTGGCCCAGAACTTATGATCCTCCCGTCTCATATAGGATCCCACTCTCCTCTCTTTTCTGTCTCATCGAAGATGAAAGGGAACATGGAAAAAGCATCTTCCTTTGCTTTCTTCCTCTCCTGCACTATTTGATCTCTCTTGTGTCTTTTGAGCCACAGCTCAGTCTGGATGCAGTGAGAGCTAACCTGGGTCTTTCTAGACGCTGCTCCTTGTGGGGTAAAAGTCGGAGTGGTCCTCCTTGACTTGCTGTGGGAACAGTCCTGTGGACTTCTGGTGCCTTCCTTCCTCATACGCAGAACCTGGGAGCTAACAAGCAGGCCAAGTCACCTGACTGGGGGTGGGGTGAGGTGGAAACAGTCCAGGTCTGCAGGCCAGGCCAGGCTTTTCGGGGAGGTAGCTCAGGCTTCGGGGGAGTAGGAGAACTCCTAACAGAATTACCACTGGTAACTCCTTGGGGCTAGAGAACAGCTGTTTCTGTTTCAGATCCTTTGACATCCCATCCCCATTTCCTCTGTCTCCTTCTAGGTCCTAGGACCCCCCAGAAGCTACAACCCCCACCGCTATCCATGGATGGGAAATGTGAGTTGGGGGAGGAAATGCAGCAAGTTGCTTCAGCTGGCAAAGGCAGTTGCTACAGCCCTCTGTCCTCTGTGTCTTGCAGGTCGGGGTGGACAATCTGGAAGACCCTCGGTGGCATCCACCGTATGCAGCAAAGCCCAGGGGAAGGAGAGGCTGACTGGCAGGGCCCGGAGGTAACAGGTGGCAGGAGACAAAATCAAGGCAGGCGCGTGTAGGTGTCCTCATTTCCCAGACTGGCCCAGGTCCCTCGGCTTCACCCCCAGGGCCCCTGCTTCCTGGCTTCTTGCTGCCTGTTACAGGTTAATGAGATACTGAGAAAGGCCACCAGCATAGGTGGTGGCTGTGAGAGCCTGGTGCCCAGAGACTGGGGTAATTACAACAGCTTGCTTCCTCTGGGATGTGAGGTGTGCCTTTCCCAGGCAGAGCACGTAGGGACATGCCTGGAGTCCCCATGGAGCTCATGGTGCAACAGGCTTGGCAATAACAGCAGCTGGGTACCCAGGATGGCTGTTCAGAGGAATTGGCTATGTTCAAGAGGCAAGATAAGGCTGGGGGTGGGGCTCCGGTCTCACTCCGAAACCACTGGGCTTTAGCTTCTCTCTGGGTTACGTGGGCTCCTGGTTGTGAAGGGGCTTACTTGAAGCAAGGTAGAGCCTGGCACAAGACCTGGCACTTGCTGTGTTTCTGCAGGTATGACATGAAAGAAGATGAGACGCTGCAGAGCCAGGAGGTGGGTACCTAGGCATGGGATAGGGCAGTCTGGGGACAGGAGCCCCAAATGTGCTAGTCAGCTGGGCTTTTCTTTTGCTTTAGGGAAGCCAGAGCACCACGAAGACTTCCAGGGCAGAGCGGGAGTGTGTACAGAAGCAGAGTGAAATGGAACCAGGCAGACAGGAGACCAAGCCTGCAACCAGTCCGGCTCCGGCCTCCCCAGAGGGGCTAAAAGGGGAGTCAGGAACCTCTACAGCCAGTGTAGCCCTAGACTTCCCACAAAATTCTGACTTGACTCCCCTTGACCTCTCTTTAGGAGGAACTAGCAGTCCCAAGCCTGAAAAAAGCACCTGTGGACTCAGTCCAAAGTGTGGGGCTCCGCAAATTTCAGTACCATGGCCAGATGGCTCTGAGCAGCAGGCCCTAGCATGGAATGACCACCAGTCTGGGCCGGAAGGCCACACTTGCAGTGAGTCACAGAGAGAAGCAGAGGCCTCGAAGCCCAAAGAAGACAGGGCTGGTAACGTTGGGGCCCAGCAGAACCTGGCACCGAGAAGCAGGGCCCCCAGAGGGATTGGCCAAAGGGCAAGAGGCACAAGTAGGAGATCCAGGGCGGGAGGCCCCGGCCCTGCAGGAAGATGCTGAGCAAAGCTCATGGGAGTTGGGGAGTCAGGCTAAGGAGGGGAGAACTCAGTCAAGGGTCTTCTGTGTGGCAGAAGTCTGGCTGCTGGTGGCTTGTAACTTTTTGGCCCAGCAGTGTGGCAAAATTCCACAGGGACGCCATGCGAGGGCCTCTTACGTACGTCTCTCTACATAAGTGGGTCTTTGACCTGCAGGCAAGGCCCCTGGTGTATTTGCCAGGCTTGGATCTCTTGCCCAAGGATGGCATCCCTGGCTTGGGCCTACTGCTATATAGGATAGGCCCTTCCCACAAAACAAGAGTTGGGAGTACCCCAGAATGTGGGTCTTCCTGCTCCTTGTCCTTCCTTATTGCCAGGTCTCACTCCCCAGTCACAGCCTTCAGGCTCCTCAGCTCTGGGCAGTCTCAAAGCTGGTGTGGCCAGCCCAGCCCCTCTCTGATACCCTGCATCCAAGTGATTCTCAGTCCTGTTCTTCCAAGATGGCCAAATCCAGGTTTCAACAATTGCCTGAGGCCCAGAGAAAGTGGGCCGGGGCTCACACAGACAGGATCAAGGTTGGAGTGGAAGAGTAGGACCCAAGGCTTCTTGGGGAAAAGGAGGCATCCGAGGGCCTCTTCTTTGAACTGGGCTTCTCTTTTGCGTGACCATAGGAGAATGGGAGAGCTTACTAGCAGGTACTGAACCTGCCTCTTCTATATTGAGATCAGACCTCATGGGTGCCCTGAATGGACCCTGCAGCCCAGGGCCATTTCCTGACCTCTCTCTCTTCTGCATTTCCCCTCACCAGGGCCATGCTAGAGTAAGCGCACGACGGAGATGGATGACTAGCATCCTCAGCTAAGTACGACATCAGGGTGTGTCGTTTTCACTTGTCTCCCTCCAGGCCCCTCCCATGAGGCCCACGTCTGGTGAATTATCCAGACTCTGCACAAGCTGTGGCTTCCTTTCAATACAACAAACATTTCCTGAGCATCTTCTCCCAGTAATCTAGATAGTGGGCGAGGGTGACTCTGCCAGCAGGAGGGAGGGAAGAAACTCAGGCATCCAACTCAAGGCTGAATGGCAAGTGCTGTTCTCATCTGTAGATGCCTGGCAGCCCTGGGGATGATGAGGGCAGGAACCGGAAGAGATGCACCCCACCTTTGTTCCCCCTCTTTTGATATGGCCTGCACCATTGCTCCCAGGCCCTGATCTGGACGGCACCATGCAGCCCCCTCTTCCTCTCTACAAGGGTAGGGGTCTCACATAACCCTCTAAAACTCTAGGGAAAGCGCACATCATCTCCATCTTTACACAAGAGGCCTGAAACTTGGGTTCCTGTCTTGGCCTCCCCTCCTGGCTCTGTTTCCATCTATTCCCTCTGCTCAGGCAGGCGAATCTTCAAGCAGGTCAGGTTGGTTAGAGACTTCTCACACTTTCATGTGACTCTGCAGTGCAGGTTGAACTCAGTGGGGCTGAGGAAGGTCTGGAAGTTTGCATTTATAGTATGTCTCAGGTGAGAGATGCATGGCTGCTCTTTTTTTTTTTTTTTTTTTTTTGGGCCTGAAGAACCCTTTGAGGAGTCGAGTTCTGGAGCGGGGCTTGCGAAGCATTCGGGTTGGAGCCGAGTTAAGATTCTAAGGCAAGTTACCGGCTCTGCAGGAACTAGAGGAGTGCTGCTCCTGCCTATGGAAGAGGCTCCCTGGCTTCAGAGGCTCCTGGGAAAGAGTTGTTGGGCAGTGGGGTCAACTCTACAGTGTATTAAAAGGAAGCTGGCCAGGGAGGGATGTGACAGGATGATGCGGGTGGGAGGGTCAGTGTGGTGGGTCAGCGGAAGTGTGGAGAGGCATAAAAACATTCCTGTACATGTGAGACATGCCTGGGCCAGAGTGCAGGATCCAAACTCAAGTTTTCATCCTGCCTTCCAGAAGTCTCAAGTCTCAAGGTCTTTAGAGTGTGACATAGGCCCTGGAGCGCGTGACTCCTAAAAGATAGGACTAGAATAGAGCAGGTCCAGTCAGAGCTGTTGAGTTCAGATACTGCAAAGAAATGATTGTGATCAAGGATGTGAATTCTGGGCTAGTGGTGTAGGTTGGTAGAGTTCATTCTCAGTATACATGAGCCCCTTGGTTCAATCTCTAAGATCCTCAAGGCAGAGAGAGAGAGAGAGAGACAGAGACAGAGACACAGAGAGAGACAGAAAGAGACAGAGAAGGGACGGAGAGAAAAGATTCACAATTGCCTCCCACTGGATGCCACCAACTGTACAATGTGCTTCATCAAAAAACATAGAGCAAGACATGTTTGACCATGGGTTGAGGATGTAAAAATTTGGCAGAGTTCTGGCTCAGCCCTTACAAAGAGACCTATGCAGGAGAAAGAGCTGGCAAGGAGGACTGAGAGAGCATGAGACTTTTCTTCCTGTGCAGCCATCATTAAGCAGACCATTGGGGGATGCAGCCCTAGGGGCTGGAGAGAACGGAAGCCAACACAGGAAGCCTGCAGGGCCAGCAATGACACCAAGCTTTTCCTGGGAAAGGGGAGCACTTCTCCCAGACAAGAGTGACACCTCCCAGCTCTCTGTCCAGGGGTGGCCATCTTGCTCTGTTACAGAGTCAGCTATGGAGTCACTCCTCTAGTGTCTACAAAGAGCTGGTTGGAACTCTTCCTGGTCATTTTGTGCAAAGGTCTGACCCAGAGCTTTCCCTTTGGAAGCCCTCTTCTTTCCAATGACCAGACAAGACAGCTCTTTAAAAGCAGCAGTCTTCATTAAATACAGCTCTGGGGAACCAGATGCAGGGCTGGAAGGAGCCGAGCAAAGCAGGAGGATCCGGTAGGGAGAGGACAAGAATCCTACTCAGAAGCCTTGAAACAAAGAGGGCGGAAGGAAAATGGAGACCATACTGTAAGAAAGGTTCCAGTTTTGATTCCAGGCACCATAGTAGAGTAGAACACACCTTGGAGTCTGAGAGACTAAATATGAGCCCTGGACCTCCCATCCACCTTGGTCAACTTTAACTTCTAAAAGCCTCAGTTTCCTTATCTGTAAAATGGGGCGTGCAGCTCGACTTTGAAGGGGGTTGCTGAGAAAGCCAGAGTGTGCAAAATATACCTGCACTCAGCAGACTCTGGGAAGGGCAGTCTGGCGCAGAGAGGATGCTGAATAAATGCATTAGATGTTTGATCCAGTGTCGATGTCTGCTTGTTTTCTGTCATTTTTATTTTCCTTTTCCTGGGGACCAGTATTCTCTCAGGGAAAGGGTGGCAGGTTTTGTTTCATTATTTTTCCCCTAGAAGCCCACCTCTTAGGGGGCTTCCTCCGAGTTTCCCAGAATGAAAATTCTGCCACCCAAATGAGCCAAAGACTGGTTTTCTTATGGCTAACCCCAGCTATTTAAAACAAGCTACAAGTTTGGAAGACCTGACCACTAGTTAACTCCAGCCCTGGTCCTGCCCTCAGGACAAGAATTACAGGAAAAGATGGCACTGTCCTTACGAACACCAGGAAATAGCCAAATTTTCCATATGACTGTCTTTTCTGGTAGTGGGGGCTAACCCTGGGTTGTCAAGAGAATAGAGAAAACAAAGGCACGGCCATTTCACACTGTCATTTATCAGTGTCCACCAGCATCTCCTTCTGAGTCAGGGTTATCTGGACTACGGAGGATCGGGTGGCCATGGTCTCCCCACAGAGGCAAAATGCAGGTCTGGGAGCCGTGCACAGGAGAGCCAGGCAGCAGAAAGCGGAGACTGTGGCTGCGTTCTCTCAAGTCTGCTGCGCCTACGTCACGGCTCTCATTAAGCATCCACTTGACGCCAGGGAGGTGAAAAAACACAGAGCTGGCACCAGAGAGAAAAGTGTGGCGCCCACTGCCCCTTTTCAGGACTGGCTGGAGAAGCAGCAGGCCCAGGGCAGGAGGCGAGGCGAACACATCAGCACCTTTGAGTCAGAGGGAAGAGGCTCTCAAGCCTACGTCCATCTTAACAAGCTCTCCAGGGCAAACTGTCAAAAATAATGGACAGTGTAGGCTTTTTCCTTTTTCTTACAAACTCTGGAGATAGAGTGTTTCCTCTCCCTAGAGCAGGGCAGCTAGTGCCAATGAAGCCAAAGGACCAAAAGTCACGTACATTGATAACCCGCTAGCAAAACAGAAAATTCCCAAGCTAGAATCAGAAAGTCTGGGCCTGGCTCTGCAACTTCAGTGTGAACTGGAATCACCTGGGAAGCTTTTTTTTTTTTTGAGTTTTGTTTTTTTAATTTTTTGTTTTGTTTTGTTTTTCACCACAGGGTTTCTCTGTGTAGCCCTGGCCCTCCTGGAACTCACTCTGTAGATCTGGCTGACCTCAGACTGGGTGCCTCTGCCTCCAGAGTGCTGGGATCAAAGGCGGGCTCTTCGGCTGCCACTACCACTTGGCTAGAAAACTAGTTTTAAAGAGAAGCCCCTGACCCACTTCCCAAGAGAGCATTTGGTCTGTGGCCCATGGTTATCACAGTTCCACCAGTTTCTCAGGTGATACAGATGCTCTTGGTCTGGGAGTTTCTGTCCTGTCTGCTGGCCTTCCCTGGCATTTCTTTCCATGCTGTGCATTTTTTTCTACCACAGGGATGGATATTCCCTTGAAAACAGATTACTTCGTGTGTGTACCTTCCTTCATTCCCTTCACGTCCACACCTCCATTTGCTCTCATGGTACCCCCTTTGGCTGGCAGAAGAGGCTAAGGCTTTTTCCACACTACTGATGAGTTGTCAGGTATCTTAACTTCCTGTTCCGGGGTCACTTCTGAGAACACACTGCCTTTGTACCCAGGCCCTGGTCATGCCATGAGCTGACTACACCTCTGATACGGGCTCCTGTAACTTTTTTACAATACATAATGTATTTCGTATGTAATGGCTGTTTTGCCTGTGTGCCCGTCTGTGCACCAGGCTCATGACTGGTGTCTGTGGAACCCATAAGGGGGTGGGGGATCCCCTGGAAATGGGAGTTGCAGACAGTTGTGAGCCACCATGTGGGTGCTGGGAATGGAACCTGGGCATGCTCTTTTTTTTTTTTTTTTTTTGGTTTTTACGAGACAGGGTTTCTCTGTATTGTTTTGGAGGCTGTCGGACCAGAGATCCACCTGCCTCTGCCTCCCGAGTGCTGGGATTAAAGGCGTGCGCCACCACCGCCCGGCCAGCCTGTGCTCTTAACTGCTGAGCCATCTCAGCCTTGGTTCTGTAACTTGACACTTCCCAGCAGGCACCTAAGGTGGCTTCTAGGACACAGGAAAGGGAGCAGAAGGCATATTTAAAGAGAAATCATTTCTGATGAACATAGTTACTTTTTTTGACAAGTTGGTTTTGAGAGTTTTGGAGTTCACTTGGCGCTCAATAAACACTAAATTAATGGTAATGGCTTGTGGAAAATATTCCTGATGATATTAAACAGAATCTTGCTACTGGTATAAAAACTAATGGCTGAAAATAGGAAAATGGGGCTGTGTAGGTAATAGGGCGTGACGGCTGTGGGCAAGAAGTGTGTGGTGATTTCCTGGTTGCTTTCTTGTAACTTAACCAATGCTTCCAGAACTGAATAGGACCACAAGAACTGGCTCAGCAAGGGTGCTTATGACCTACCAGGTGACTCGTGTGGGAGGGACCAGTGGGAGTCGTGTTTGGTGTGACAATGGACATCCTAATAGAGTTGGGGTGTGTGGCAAAGGCAGGCTTTGTTTATTTTTTGATGAGCTACTGGAGGGAATGAAAATCGTAACATAGGCTCTCTGCAGTAGAAAACCACAGGCTATGTCTGGGAGGGAAACAGATGTGACCAAAAGCCTGTCAACAGTGCAGCTATTCTGTAGCTCTACACTAAGGCTGGGGCAGAGGGACAACGAATGGGTCACAAAGCCTATGATGCATCCACATGGGTGACAGCATGGACCCCTGGTCCCTGGATAAAACTGGAGAGTCAGACCCAGGCCTCTCAGCATGGAAGGAAGGAGCCGTCCAGTCAGCTATAGTTTGAATGAGACTATGGGCTGTGGTGCAGGTTCTACGAGTGGACCATGACAGGGACACCACGATGACATGTCATTACATCCATCATGGTGACCACCCAGGTGATCAACAGACTCTGAGGACCCAGTGCTCCGTGCCAGGCACTGAGTTGGCACTGGTCATGAGAATTGAGCAAAGCCGCTGCAGCCCTTTCCTCCCCAGAGGAGGCCAATTAAACAGTACAGCTGTGGCCCTTTTGTTACTGAACTGCAATTCCAGAAATACCTCCATCTTCTGCAGACAGGAAGGGAGGACAATTATTACCTTCTAAATAGCTGCAGTGGCCCTAAAGTCACCAACCTTTCAGTACTCCTTAGAGCAGCGTGTAGGAACAAGTAGATGTTCTGCCTCCAGCATTTCAAAACAGGATATAAATACTCGACTACAGAACACACCAGCTTAGAATTCCCCAGTGAAAACTGAAAAACAAGGTAGACAGAACAGCTTCCCAAACCGTGGTGCCATACCATGCAGTCCTTAGTGGGGAAACAATGCTGCTTAAGGCTTCAAGAGAACCCACTTCTCTATACCTGAGCATCCAGGAGGAAAGACTTTCAAAACCTCATTCTTTTTTTTCCTTCGAATTCAAGCTGCCAGGGAATGAATAAACATGGTGACTTTCAATTTATGCAGACATCTAGGGATCGTCCCAGTGCAGAGCAGTTAGAGAGAAGTCCCTAATGTCCTTTGCACAGACCTTCCAGGCTTAAAAACACGGACAGTTTTGCTCCTTCCCAACATTTGCAAAGAAAGCTGTTTCCGACGCCTATTCCCATCCCATCGGGCCCTGTTCTAATCAGCCAGCAGGCTCTCCATGTACCTACTGCTGTCTTTGGCCAATGTGGTAAGCTGTGTGCAGCTGTAGAAGCCACATGTCCCCATCCGCAGAAAGGAGGGGCTGAGTCAAAAGCCACTGAACTCTCTCCTGCTCTGCCTTACCAAGCCCTCTCACAGAAAGCCATTGTGTAGGCTGAAGAGGGAAATAAAGGAAGGGCGGACTTTTTCCTGGCCTCCCTGCAGACTACAAGGTGAAGTAAAAGCACAGTGGCCACCCCCTAACAGCTCTGGAGAAGTGCAGGCCGCAGGGGGCTCCACCAACACTGGCTTCTCACTCTGGATCTGTACTGGGTACCATTGTCTGGGAATGAGCTGAGCTCTGTTTCGTACCATGTTATTTTTGCAGTATAACTAATCCCTTATATTTATGATTTTCACCCACACGTCTTTTTTGTTTGTTTGTTTGCTTTAAGGGGGGGGACCCTCACCTCTGAAGCAACCTACACCTCTCAGCAGCTTGGCTCCAGGGGAGACAGGCTCTGGTGCAGGCGGGCAGCAGTGCAGATGCATGCATGCTTTGTCTTTCCAGTGTTAGCACTTACTGAGTTAGCAAAAGGCCAACCGTGAGGTGAGATGCCGGCAGGGACGGGATCTTTACCTCAGACACCTAAGTGTTTGTCATTAAAACTTAATATTCACACTTACTAGCCCTTTAGCTAGGTATCCTTTAACTAGGTAGAACTTTTCTTGCCCTACGGCTTTTTAGGCTGTCAAAAACTAGCATCATCTAGACTAAGATGGATCCTGCCACCCTTCTCTAATCTGTTCAGTTGCTGGTGCCGACGACAGCAGGGCAATTGCTTTTTCCTTCTAAACCTATTCATCACCACCCGCCCACTGCATCTGAGACCACCTCTACTCCTTCTCCACCAAGTCAGTAAGAGAAATGTCAACCTACACAGGCTTACGCAGAGTTCTTAGAATGTATTTTTGTTCACCTGAAAAATAAAACTTTTAAAAAATATACAGGACTTTTAAAGTACAGGTATATCTTGAATGGCTGAATTACAAATAATGTCTCTGGTTGTGTTCACAGCTAGGGCTGGAGAGAACGTCCCAATTCCAGTGAAGGCTTGGAAGAGCCGGGAGGCCAGCTGGACCACAAGTGGTCTTGCCGGACTCTGATTCATCCCAAAGTGGATTTAAACAGTCCAGAAAGCAGGGTCACAAGGGGAGGAGGAATGGACTCCCAGATATTCTCCCACGAGTCCCGAGGATTCTTGGAATAAGAGATCAATTTACAAATTATTAAAATATAGGACTAAAAATTCACACCATAAATATAAATTACAGGCTATTATTGAAGTTATAAAGTGGCATTTTATGTTTCTTCCCCCCCCCCCCCCCAAGTCTCTCATCAAAAATTTAAAAATCCCCATGGGCCTCCTAATGACCCAAGTCCTCATTAGCTGTGAAGCAATCTCCAAGCCCAGACACCTTGGGGTGTCAGCAGCCTGCTGGGAGGCCACCAGCTTAGGAGCTACTTTCTTGCCCAGGACAGGACATGGCTTAAATCAAGACTGTTGTCCTGTAAACTTAAATCAGAGCTAACTACAAGGTAGGCCAGAAAACTGAATAGACAGTTGAGGACCAAGGTGGGCAGGGTTTCTGTTTGTTTCTTTTTAAGTAGCTCATTTCCCAAAAAAGGAAACACTAAGGGTTTGATCTCTGTCACTACCCACATTCAATTGCCTAAAAGCAAGTGGCAGAGGAAATGGAATCCAAATTGAAGAAGTATAATTTTTTGCTGCCCTGGAGCTGTGTGTGTGTGTGTGTGTGTGAGTGTGTGTAGCAGTGTGTGTGCGTATCCCTTGACATTTGTCACCACCTCTAGAAAACTTGCTGCATTTAAGTGGGAGCTTATCAAGCTGTCAATTCAATCTTCCCATGGCTGGTCTCTTCACGGGCTATCCAAGCACACGCCTAAGCTTGACTCCTACCTTCTGCTCTTTCTGATCCTATAAAGTAACTCAAAACCACAACACATCAAAGCTCTCTCTGGTTTTGAAACTGATTTTGTCCTAACGGCAAGCTGCTGTGTTGTTTCGGGCTCAGAAAATAGGAAATGCAAAAATGAGGAAGAGAATATCTAGAAGGGCAAGAAATTAAATAAGATCTGGAACCAGATAAGATAATTGTGGAGATGGAAAAGGAATGAGAGAAAACACTTGCCAATCACTGTACTTAAAAAGGCTTGCTCTTCCTAAAGGAATTCTGTGAGGGGAAGGGACTGATCTAAACACAGCACTCACTCCTCTCCATTGCCCCTGGCATACATCCAGATACTCAGGGCTGCAACAGGAAGCCACTTTGGTGGGAGCTCTAGGATGGGAACCAGAGCTCTAGGTGGGGATCGGTTCATTCCCCACCCTCCCTAACTGTTTCTACTGCTAAGGTTTTTCCACTGTCATGTTAGCAGTCTAAGAATGACCATACTCTTGTGTTAAGAAAGTCAGGAACTTATCTTTCTGAAAACAGGAAGGGAACAGGTGAAAGAGTGGGTGATGGAAAAGGGGGGGAAAAAAGCTGTGTTTGTGCCTTTCTGGCTAAGTGCAATTTGGAGGCCAGCAAATAGCCCTTGCTGGACCCCACCATTCAGTAGCTACCCAGGGTGTGGGGAAATACATAGAGTTCTATGTGATTATAGCTTCTAGTGCATATGTCAACAACTATATACAGGGATCTATAAATTAAACGCATGTCTGGCCACTGCAACTAGGTTGACGTACCTGAGCTCCGCTACTTTTGGTGCTCTCTTCTTTGGAGAGCTTCAGCTTATTAAAAAAGAGCCCCTACACAACTCCCTCCCCTCCCCTGAGTCTTGGGGATGGGGCGCCCGAGTCACCCCTGGCTTTAGGATACACCAGAGCTAGCGGCGCAGAAGGGCTGGATGCTAGGTTCTCCCCACCCCCCCACCCCCAGCTCCCCTTATGGCTCAGGGCCCTGGCGCAGCACGGTGCTGGGAAGATCAAACCCCGAGTCCCCGGCGAATCGTGGTCCCTTGGCTGAAGATCCGGTTGTGCGTTACCCGCTCCCGGGGCGAGCTGGCGATCGCTGAGGTGTGTGGGGGCGTTCGCTCGTGTAGGGGGTCACTCCGGAGGGCCCCGGGGCCGGTCCTGCTGCAAAGTCCTGCCTAAGGGCTTGGGGGACGAAGATTCCCGACCACCCCCAACCCGGAGAGGGTCAACGACTCCGGGGTGCCGCAGCCGCTTCCTCTTCGTCCTCGTCCGGGCCCCGCGGCCGCTCGAGCGGCCCGGCCAGAGGGCTGTCTGCAGCGGGTTCCGGGGGCGCCGGCCTCGCCGCCTGCAGCGGGGGAGCGTCGCGTGGCGCCTCGCGGCGGGACGACCTGGTGGTGTTGGGCCCCGCCGCCGCCCCAGAAGTCCCAGACGGGCCGGTGGCGTTGGAGCCGCTGGGGGGCGGGCCGGCGGCTCCCCCCGAGGTCCCGGCGCCCACCGGCTGCCAGATGAGGCTGTAGTAGACGGCCAGTACGATGGCGGCCAGCGACACGGAGAGCACGTATGCGAACACCGTGGCGAGCCGGACCCACTTCTTGTTGGTCTTGGCCGCCATCTTCGCCTTCTTGTCCCCGGTGTAGGTGGCCGGCTTGCCCCGCTCGGCCGGGGCCGCGTCGCGCTCCTTCATGGGGGGGCCCCGGCCTTTGGCCCGGTGCTCCACGGCCCCGGCTGGAGGGGGCCTGACGGCCTGCGAGGACTGGGCAGGGGGCGTCCCGGCGCCCTAGCTTCCCGGCGGCCCCGCGCTCCGCCGCCGCTCCTCACGCCGCCCGCCCGCAGCCCGCCACCGCGTCGCTGCTGCCGCCGCCGGGGCCCGTCACCGCCGCCAGCGCCGCCGCCGCCGCCGGCCCGCCAGCTGCTTCCCAGCCGCCGCCACAGCCACAGCCGCCCGACTCCGAGTCCCCATCCGCTGCCGCCGCCTGCCCGGCCGCCGGTCGCCTGGTCTCCAGTGGCCGCGCCGACCGCGCGCTCCAGCTCCAGCCCGGCTCCCCCGCGGGGCGCGCCGGTGCAGGGGGCGGGGCCGCGCGCTGCCCGGGGCTGCCTCTTAAAAGGGCGATGCACGGGCCCGGAAGTACCGCTTGGGGAGGTGGCTGCGGCTGGGCGTCGCGGGCCCCGTGGGGGACGCCCAGTTAAGAGAGAGTTAAGGGAGGCTGGGCCTTAAAGGGGCGACCGGTGCTTCTTTAAAGGGGGAGCGGCGTTCTGCGGGAGGGAGTGCGGAACGGGGAGGCGGCGGGGAGGGTGAGCTGGGCGGAGAGCGGTCAATTCAGACATTTCCCCCACGTCGCCCCAGGCTAGGAGGTGGTAGGTGGTAGGGTCCACCAGGTCCCTGATCCCTGAGGCCTCTGAAGCTGACACTAAGCTTTTGATCTCCAGCTAGCTCTCCCGGAGCGGGTGTAGTGGTGTCCCAGACCCCTTTACCCCGAAGAGCCGGTTCAGGTCTGAAAACCTAGCGCGCGCACCGAAACCGTTGTCTCTTGCGATTCTTTTCTCCTCTTGGGCTGGACTCTGAGAATACACGAATCTTGCCTGTTTGGGTCCTCTTGCCCCTGAGTCCGGCTGCCGTGAGCCTTAGGGACAGAGCCAAAGTTTCTTCTCTAGAATCGCCTACTACCTTAATCTCAAACCTCACAACAGGTCTCAGGTCCTACTCAGGTCTTTGATTCGCCGGGTTGGCCTTGAATTGTACCCGAGGGGCTGCACTGAGCTATGGAAGGCGTCTCTCAGCGTTTTCATTTTTTTTTTTTCCAGCCCCAGGGTCTAGAGAATTGTCTTACCCGTTTGAGGTTTGTCCTACCAGGCTCTAGACTTTGTGTTTGCTCTTCCAGCCCTATGGGCGCTTACAGCCCTCTGCATGCAGGGGCTCTCCGTGATCACGTTCCCCATGCCTTCCCCTTTGCTTCTTTCTGCTCTGTGGGGTTCACTGTGTTATCTGGTGCCCTCCTGCTTGAATCTTTCCGTGTTCCCAAAACTGCCTTTGTGAACAGCCTGGGCGTCCGAATGGATGAGAGAACTGTCGGTGGGTGTGTAGGAGGAGACTGGTTCTGATGAGTTTGGGGTGGGGTGCCCTCTATGTGGCCTCTGCGAGGGAGGGCCTGGCTGGCTTCTTACCTGCGGGGCAGGACTCCCTCTGCCCTTTCCACCTCTCCTTCTCCAGGAGCCTTTGACTTGGATGTTCCTTACCCAAGCCTTACCCCAATCCTCCCATCCCTAGGCACAGAAGCCACTACTAGTGGGCTGCTGGGACCACAAGCTTCTAATCCAGTCCTCGTGGAGGCTCAGGTAGGGCTGTGCCACTAGCAAAATGGCCCAACTCAAGCTGTTTCAAGGAACAGCTTGTCCTTTTACTTTCTGAGAAATTACAAGGACACTGGGAGTTTGGAGTGTTTATTGGCTTCTGTGAATGATAGGTGGTGTGTGTGTGAGAGAGAGAGAGAGAGAGAGAGAGAGAGAGAGAGAGAGAGAGAGAGAGAGAGAGAGAGAGGAAGAGGAAGAGGAAGAGGAAGAGGAAGAGGAAGAAGAGGAGAGAGATTTCCCCTGCACCCAGGGCAGCCAGAGCTAGTCTTGAAGGTGGCCTATAGAGTTAACATCCATGAATTGTCATCAAATGTTATTTTCTCTTTTTTTCTGTTCTCTGACTTCCCCGGCAGGATTGATCGATCACACAACCATCCCAAGGTGAATTATGCTTTAAGATCCCATACGGGTGTTAACCCATATGGAGCCCCTTTGGTCCCCTTCCTGGAGTGCACTCCATATTACTTCTCCATATTTCTGTTGCAAATTACACTTCCTTTTTCTTGCTTGCTTCCCAGCAGAGTAGGAAAACAACATGTCACTCTTTTTATTCTAAACAATGATGTACTTGAAGCCCTTATTCAACTCCTCCCCTATTCTTCTCCAAATGAAACGGTGCCAGATTCTTTAACCTGTCGTCAATAAGCACTATTTATTATCTGGATTTACATAGTGTCTTTTACCCCTGGAACTCAAAATGCTTTCAGATATAATTGAGCCTGATCTCCCTGGTGCCTGAGCCATTAAGAAACCATTAGTGTATTCCTGTTGCCGACAACTAAATGGCCCCCTAGTGGCCTGAAAGTGAATATGCTTTTCTAAGTGCCTCTCCCCCATCAAGGTTAGGCAGGAACTCAAGAATCAAGGCAAGTTTGGGGACAGAATGGATCCAAAAGGCCATCTTTGGTGAATATCCTCAACCACCCTGGAGCCTCTTGGACAACATCCTGTGGAGAATTCTGCTGCAGCAGCTAAACGTCTGTCTCCGCTGGCGCGCCGGGTTGTCTGCTCCCTGAAAGAAGCCCCGGCAGCTTTCAGAGAAGTTCAAAGCAACAGCAGGAACTGTGGCCTTGGATGTGACAGGAACTATGTCGAGAGTCATAAGCATTCACAATTTATCAAGTAGTTACCATCTAGTCTATTTTGTAGAAGAAATTGCTTCAAACAGGCTAAGGTACTTACCCAAGGTCACATAAGTAGAATTCAGTTAAAACCCAAGTCTTCCTGACTCCAGAGCTTAGGTACTTGACCCTGCTCTTCAGTCAATCCTGGACTCTGTCTCTGTAGTGGATTTTGTGAGGTACCAGCTAAGATGTCCACTGGATGGACATCCTCATTCCTCCATTTGCTGGGGGGTTGGCTATGGATGGTTCCCTGATGTCCCTGGGAACTGTCCCTAAGCAGGCACCAAAGGATGTTGCCTCTGCCTCCACATTTACAAGTATGTACTGGTAGGAGCCAGAGACAGATGTATAAGGTTAGTGGGGTGTGGGACGGCCTGAACATGGTATTGAATCAGGGAGTCTATAGTTATGGAAGCACTGCTCCATAAGGCAGGATTTTCTACCCTTGCAAAGACCTTGGGAGGTTGGAGAAACACCACAGTAAAATGGAATGCCAGAACTACCATAGAAGAAGGTTTAAAAAAAAAAAACTGAGCTGGGCAGTGGTGGCGCACGCCTGTAATCCCGGAATCCCAGAAGAGGCAGAGGCAGGTGGATCTATGTGAGTTCAAGGCCAGCCTGGTCTACAAGAGCTAGTTCCAGGACAGGCTCCAAAGCTATACAAAGATTCCTTGTCCTGAAACAAACAAACAAACAAACAAACAAATAAACAAACTGAGAGTTGGGGTGCTACAGTGTGTAATCTGTGTGTGGCTAGGAACCTATTTAAGTTTGCCAAGAAGACTCAGACAACACTTAGGTATCAAAGGAATGTCTGAAGGAATGATGGGAAGGATACCGGTATCATGGTGCTTCTTCTCAGTGTGAACTGTCCTCTGTAAGCCAGCAAGAGGCTCTTTCAGAAGTGGCTCTGCAAGACAATAGAAGCCAGTTGTTGATATAGCTAATATGAAGAGCTTCCAGTGGGGTGGAGGTTCTAACCAGTGTATCTATGGACCAGGTTGATACTATAGTATCAGACAAGCTAGCTCACAGCTCACAGTGGCACATTGTGGCTCAGTTGTCCCAGGGGTCCTCAAGCATTTTAGTTTCAGGTTTCCAGAGCTAGACTTGGTAGCACAATCATGTAGTCCCAGCTACTTGAAAGGTTGAGGCAGAGAAACCACTTCAGGCCAGGAGTTCCAGACTAGTCTTGGCAACATGAGACAGACAACAAAAAACTTCTGCTTGTGCGGGTGATAGATATTGATATATTGCCACATTAAAAAGAAAGCAGGAATTGATAAAATATGATTTTGTTAGGATATTACAATTCCATTGCATGTGAACAAAGAGCATATTTTTATGAATATAAGAATATTTTTGTTCAAGCAGCTTGGCTTTGTTTAAGATGGGGCTTTACTACGTTGCCAAGGCTCTCCTTGGACTCGAAGTTTTCCGGCTTCAGCCTTCTGAATGCTGGGATTACAGGTGTATGCTACTATGCCCTGGCTTAGTGTCACTTTTTTTTTGAGACAGGACCTTACTGTTTAGCCCCAGCTTTTCAGGAACTAGCTCTGTAGACCAGGCTGTCTTCGAACTCACAGAGGTCTGCCTGTCTCTGCCTCCCCCGGTTGTGACAAAAGACATGTGCCACTATGCCTGGCCAGTTTCACATTTTTACAACTCTCTTGAACATTGCTTTATGGAAGACAGCTGGAGCCTTACTTTTGCTGGCACTGTGTTCCTTCGGTCAAAATATATAAAGAAAATCTGGCATCGTGTAGATATGTGGTTGGAAAATAGAAGAGTATTTTAGTAGTCTTTCAGATTGTTGTGGCTATTTTTTGTACTACACCAAATCTCAACGAGTACTAAATGGAAGTTGCATTGCAGACTATAAAATATTATTACTAGCTGGGCAGTGGTGGTGTATGCCTTTAATCCTAGAGGCAGGTTGATCTCTGTGAGTTCAAGGCCAGCCTGGTCTACAGTTCCAGAACAGTCAGGGCTACACAGAGAAACCCTGTCTCAAAACAAAACAAAATAAAACAAAACCTGCACCCCATTATTACTATATCAATGGAATTTTGGTACTTGACACTAAAGTCATTGTCCACCTTGCTCTTGGAATGGCACTTTTACCTATGTATGATTTTGTAACATCCTGCTTTGGTTATTATGAAAATCTTGATTTACCAATGTATGTATATTTCCAAATACTGATACATTTAACTATGCAATATATTAATCATATTTGTTAACACCAGAAACAGTTTAAGCCCTTGGAATTCAGTCAAGGTCATAATATGGTGCATATATGTTATTCTAAATTCTATTTTCACTTGAAAGGTCAGATTTTTATCATTAGTAATAGATGTCAGTTCTCCTTAAAGTGACAGGGACACTGGGTTCACATTTGAGAAAACAGCTGCCATGTAGTCAAGGCTGCATGACAATAGCTGTATGTCAGTTATTCTTCAAGTGAGAATAATGTTCCACAGTGCAGGTGGCTACTTTAGTTCATAACCCAATAGCTCACATGATTTCCCCAAAAGGACAGTTATGTTCCTGTGTGCCGTAGAGCGCTTTACAGTCAATC